TCCCCCTGCGGGAACCCTCTGGCCGCTGACGGGCCGGCTCCCGCCAGGGGACGAGCACGCGCTGCGCTGCTCTGCCCTGCCCGTCCCGCTCTTCCGGCGGCCTCGGGGAGCTTTGCTGGCTCGTTGGGCAGAGCAGCTACTTGTGGCTCTCCTCTGAGGAGGCCCCCAGCCTCCCGCCTGCTTCACGTGGGCACGGCTTGGTGGCAGAAAGTAGGAGGGGGCCCAGGGGGCCCCCGCTTGCCCGCCAGCCACGCTTTTGGCTCACCACGGCGTTGCACAGGGCAGGCGTGTGCCTTTCAAGAGCCACGAAGGAGGTTTGGAGCACCCGTCTGGGAGAGTTGGGCTGGGAAAGCCCCAAGCAGGCTGGCCAGTTTTCTTGCTTCCTTTTTTGAAAAAACCCGCTTCTCTTCCAGCCCTTGTAGGGTTGGTATTTTTAAATCCTGACTCCTTGTGAGCACTTGCTGGAAGGGCACTTTAGTACAGCAGATCTGAAAATCCCAGGAGATTCATTTCTAAAAATCCGGCCAAAGCCAGCAGTGACAGAGAGAGAGGTGGCAGGGGGGCTGCGAACGGGAGGGTTTTGCTGGCATGACGTTGCTTTCCAAGGGCTCCTGGAAGCATTTTTCATCATGCTGCAGCTTTGCTCGGTCATCTGAACATCTGCGTGCAGATGTGCCCTAGCGTGTGAGGTTGCACAGACACGCACACTCGCCGTTTATCCCAGATCCTGACGCGAGCGGCCCTCGCTTTCACCCACCAGGGGCACCCTCCCACTGCAGCTGGAAGGGAAAGCCGAGCAGTGGAAGCCCACCGGACTCCGGCAGACTTGGGGGTGTGAATGCAGGATCACCTGCTGCTGCATTGGAAACAGTGTAGAGTTAGACACTGGGATTCTTTTGCACGAGCCAGCCTTCTGGGATGGGGCGACTTCTGTGGGTGTGGGGGGGAGGCGGAAGCGGCTACCATGGTGCTGCCTCCAGACCAGATGCAGGCTCTCCGTGAGCACCAGCGCGGGGGGAGCGGTCCTGCTCGTGGGTTTCCACTGCGGCAGAATGCCGAGCTGCGCGGAAACGTGGCCTCGCCCCCCACCTGACCCAGGATCTCTCCTTGGCTCAAGGGCAGAGCATGTAGCTTGCACGCAGGCGGTCCCGGTCCAAGCCCCGACATCTGTGGAAGGGCGAGGAAGGACCCGCAGGGAGGTGAGGCCGGCAGCTGCACCCGGCGCTGAGCTATTTGGACGGCTGGGCCGGCTCAGCAAAAAGCGGCTCCCATTTTGCTAGGGGAGATTTGAAAGGGGCCACAGTTTTTAAGGCAGGTGTGTTGAATTGCTTTCTTCCCAAGGACTGAATGCCATTCTGGAGCAGCCCTCGGGGCCAGAATGCCAGTGTGGCTTAACTTAGTGCTAAGCCTCAGGGAAAAGTTCCAGCTTTTACAATGGAGGGAGAGCAGCCCAGAGATCAAGAAGCTGTTGATTGATCGGAGGCCGGGGGGTGGGTGGGTGGGAAGTGTGTCCCCCCCCAGTGGGTGAACAAGCAGGCGTGACCCCCTGGGGATCCCCGGAGAGCCGAAGCGCAGAGCCCCGGTTTAACTCTCCTCCCCACAGCTGCCTTGCCACGAGTGGTTCCCCCCCATGGCACGTGGCGTGCCGGGCTGTGGGGAGGCAGGTTGTGGGCTGTGGGAAGAAAGGCGGGCGGATCGAACGGAGCCCGCTTCCTTTTGGAAGTCTCGGGGGCGATTGGGTGGCTGACACTGCTCCCTTTCCACAGGGAGAACAACCCGACGCTCGTGGAGGTGCTGGATGGGGTGGTGCGCCTTCCCGAGTCCGTGCACATGGCCGTCCGCTACACGAGCATCGAGCTGGTGGGCGAAATGAGCGAGGTCGTGGACAGAAACCCCCAGTTCCTCGGTGAGTTGGACGAGAGGCGGCCCTCTGTGCCCACCCGCCCGCCTCACCCTTCAGCCACGCTGGCTCCAGGCGGCCTCTCCCAGCACCAGGCCAGCCCGGTGGCGGGCACATGCCCTGATTAACGGCCAGGCCCGTGCCGGCCTCAAAACCCTGCTCGGCCGGGCAGGGAAAAGTCCGGCCCCTCAGACTCCCCGGCGCAGCCTCTGCCAGTGGGGCCGGGCCGGGGCACAGCGCCCGTCATGCCCAGTGGGGGGGCTGCCCGGGCGCCCTCTGCCGCCGGTCTCAGGCTCTCGCCGGTCTCCCCGCCCCCAGACCACGTCCTCGGCTACCTGATGAAGGGGCTGTGCGAGAAGACGCTGGCCTCCGTGGCGGCCAAGGCCATCCACAACATCTGCTCGGTGTGCCGCGACCACATGGCCCAGCACTTCAGCGGCCTGCTGGAGATCGCCCGCTCGCTGGACTCCTTCATGCTCTCGCCAGAGGCCGCCGTGGGGCTCCTGAAAGGTACCACTTTGCTCCCCCACCCCGGTGGGGGGGGCACAGGGGGTGGCCTCCAGGTTAGGACCTCAGAAATCGGTCCGCTCCTAGCGTCAGAGAATTGCGGGAACGAAGCTGCCGGGAGCTGGGCCACTTCGTCCCTCACCCCCTTGCAGCGTGATGGAGCTTGCAGTCCAGCGCCCTGGGAGGGCGACGGGGAGGAAGGCGGGGCTGCAGGTGGAGGCGGAGCCTCTGGAGCGACTTCGCTGGCAGGGGAGCCATGTCGTGAGGGTGGAGAGTGGCGGCGGCTGCCCCCACCGCTGGCCTGGGCGGACGCGGAGCAGAAGCGCCCCGTGGCTGCCGGGAAGGCAGCGGCCCCCGTGGGCTCTCGGGCAGGGCTTCCCTCTCCCACCCCTTTTATCTTCACACCCACCCTCCGAGGTAGGCTAGGCGCGAGACGGTGAGCCAGCCCACGGCCCCAGTGGGCTTCCTGGCTTCCGCCGGAGCCTCACCCTCTGTCCCAGCCTTCCCCGCCGCGGTGCCGCCGGGGGGCAGGCCTCATCCCGGGTGGCTGGGAGGATGGCAGTTGGCTCTGCCCCACGTGCCTGGAGGGCCCGGGCGTGGCCCTTGCCGCTCTGGGGGCTGGTTGGGCGGGGAGGCCGGCTGTGGCCCCGCTCCAGCGAGGGGCACGTGACGCTCGCCCTTTGCTCTGCAGGGACGGCGCTGGTGCTGGCCAGGCTCCCCCTGGAAAAGATCTCCGCGTGTCTCAGCGAACTCTGTGCCGTGCAGGTGATGGCACTGAAGAAGGTGCGTGCTGGGGGGGCACTTTGCCGCACGCGGCATCCCTTTCCTGCGGGGGCGGTGCTTCGTGCCGGGGGGCGCTTGGGGTGCGAACCTCGAAGGCTTTTTAAATGAGTGCTATTTATATCTAGCATTGATGAGCCTCCTTTCAGAATCAGGCCTCCCTCCGAAACGCAGTGCCGTGTCGGCCTCAGCGGGCGGCTGGCAGCAGCGCATGTGCCAGGCTGCTTGCGTGCGGGGCTCGAACGCGGGCGCGGAGGCTTCGCAGGCCCCGGGCTGCTCCGGAAACGGCCACGCTCCCCTCAGGGCACCTCTCGCCAGGCGCATTTCCCAGCCCCTTCTCCGGTGCAGGGGCTGCCTCAGAGCAAAGCGGAGGCGGTGTAGCCTCTGGGTGCTTTGGTGGTCCACGCTATGGAAAGGGAAGAGGGGAGTTCAACGGGGGGGGGGGGCAGTGGCCATCTTCAGCAGCATCACTGCTCGCAGTGGTATCCGCTGCGGCCCTCAGCCGGGGGCGCAGGGTCCCAGCTCCGGCAGGCCGGCTGGTGGTGCTGGGAGGGAACGCTTGTTCGGGGTGTCCGGCGGGCACCGGGCGGGGAAGGCCCGCACAGCGCCTGGAGCTCAGAGCAGCCCCGGCTCCTGGCTGCACGCCCTGTGCCGGGACGGGGCCCTGGACTGACCCTTCGCCTCGGGTGGGCTGGGCGCGTGTCTCCCTCAGCTGCTGTCTCAGGAACCCAGCAACGGCCTCTCCTCAGACCCCACCGTGCCCCTCGACCGCCTTGCCGTCATATTTAGGTACGGATGCCCGTGGGGGGCTCGGGGGCGGCAGCAGGGCTGCGGCTGAGGTGTGCCCCTCCCCCCGTTGCGGCGCAGCTCTCCTGGCTGCCCTCGCTGAAGCGGCCCGAGTGGGGGTGCCCCACCCTGCCCTGCCGTCTGGGGTTGCCCTCAGATCTGCAAAGCAGACACACCTGGGAACTGCCCCCCCAGGGGGCAGGTCGCAGCCCCTCCCAGCCTCCTTTCCCCTCTTTTCCCTGCAGGCATACCAACCCCATTGTGGAAAATGGGCAGACACACCCGTGCCAAAAAGTCATCCAGGAGGTAGGTGGGGGCAGGGCTGGCACCCCACACGTTCCCGGGGCTCTGCAGAGGTGTGAGGGAGGGAGCCCCCATTGCTGCCCCAGTCCAGTGACACGGGGGGGGGGGGGGGGGGGAAGCAGCCCTGGCAGGAGAGAGGCCGTCTCCAGCAGCCCAGTGCCGGACCTGGCTTCCCAGCCGGGCTCCCTCCAGCTGCCTGGGAAGGCTGGGAGGTGCATTCAAATGCACCTGGGGGCACCTGGTTGGGGAGGTGCTTTGCAGGCCTGCCCTGGCCACTCCTGGAATCATAGAGCAGTAGAGTCGGAAGGGGCTGTGCAGGCCATCCAGTCCACCCCCAGCTGTAGCGGGACACCCAGTCACCCCACCCCACCCAGGGGGCTGCCCAGCTTCCCCTTGAATGCCTCCAGTGTGGGAGAGCCCCCCACCTCTCCGGGCAGCTGGCCCCACTGCCGTATCGCTCTGACCGTGAGGAAGCTCTCCCTTGCCTTGGCGACCTCCCTGGGCAGCCCTCTCTTCGCCCGGGGCAGGGCAGGTTGCTCCAGGTCAGCAGTGGGGCTGGGTGGCGCGGTCTAGACAGGTCTGCAGGGGGGCAGGCGCCCCCGCCCCGAGGCTGGCCCTGCTCCAGTCCGCGCTTTTGCTGCTCTGTCCCCTGCAGACATGCAGGCAAGGCAGGCCCGGCCAAGCTCCCCCGTGCCCGGGCCACTGAGGCGAGCCGTTCGCCTGCTGGATTGGGCCGGTTGCTCTGCAGCCTCATCCACCTGTCCGTCGCCACCGCCTCTTTTCTTTCTTCCGCCCAGATCTGGCCCGTCTTGTCGGAGACCCTGAACAAGCACCGTGCCGATAATCGCATCGTGGAGCGCTGCTGCCGGTGCCTGCGCTTTGCTGTCCGATGCGTAGGCAAAGGGTCGGCGGCGCTGCTGCAGCCCCTGGTCACACAGGTAACGGGCGGGGGGATGCAAGGAGTGGGTCGGGGCCGGCGTTGCACCGGGGGCTCCACATCTGAGCACACGCGTGTGCCCCCTCGGTCTTCCGCTGCGTCCTGTGTTGGAACAGAGGGGTTCCAGGTGCTGCTGCCCCCACGTGGGTTTGTGTCAGTGCAGAGGCGTACAGGTCTCGTTGCCGTGCCCACAGCTCTTTGCACGAGCCCTGCGAATGGAACGGGGCTCCGCGGAGCACAGGCACCGAGTGTTGGACTGCAGAGACAGTTTGGCACAGAACGTGCGTGTTGACTGTGGGCAGGCCCTGAACTTGTCTATTTGTGACAGGCCGTTGAATTGCGAAAGCTCCCACGTGCCCCCCGCACTTCTCCAGTTGGGCTGAAACCCGATCAGGCTGCAGTCCTGCCTGGACCACGCTCTCGACTGCCTCTGCCCTCAGCCCCCCGCGCGACCCTTTTCAGCCCCCCTCTGCAGAGGCAGGTGGCTGAGCCAGCCCTGCCAGAAGGGGCTCCTCCCGGGCGCAGGGTCTGCAGCCCGCAGCCTGATGGGTCTGAGGGCGCCCCAGCCTCAGCTGTGCAGCCTCGTGAGGTTCCCCCAGGGGGCAGCACCGTCCCCCCAGCCCTGCTCTCTGGGGGAATCCCCTAGCAAGGCAGGCCCTGGTCTGCGATTGGGGGCTGTGCTGGGGAGGGAGGGGCTCGTGCCCTCCCAGAAGGGGCCTGGGGCTTCGCAGCTGCTGCTGTTCCTGGTCCATGAGCAGGGAGGCGGGGCAGCCCGCCCACCCGCCTGCCTCCCTCCTCTGTGCTAGGCGAAGGCGACATCTAAGCGCCTGAGGTTCCGTCGCCTCCCCGGCATCCTTAACGGCTGGGAGCCTCCCGTGTGCCAAGCAGGCGCTCCGCCACTGAGCCGCAGCCTCCTTTTAATGGGCTTCTGGCTGTCCCGCCTGCCTTTCCGCGGAAGCGAGGACCGAGCAGCCGAGGCACAGCCAGCAGCGGTAGTGCGGGGGGTGGAGCCGCCCGCCACGGGACGGCCCGCGGGGGGCTGCCCAGCTCGCCGCGCCCGCGCTGACCCGGCGTGGCTCCCTCCGCAGATGGTGAGCGTCTACCAGGAGCACCAGCACTCCTGCTTCCTCTACCTGGGCAGCATCCTCGTGGACGAGTACGGGATGGAGGAAGGCTGTCGGCAGGGGCTGCTCGACATGCTGCAGGTAAGTAGTCCTCGGCCACCGCCGCGCGCAGGAGCCAGCCACTTGCCCCCCTGCCGCTGCCGTCCCCCGAGGCGCCTCCGGGCTCTGCCTGGCCACTTGGCTCCTGGTGAGGCCACTGCCCGCAGCTTGAGTCTTGAGCAGAACGGGCCGGGCCAGGGCCTCCAGGCTTCCTGCCCTCCGGGGCTTCATTTCTTCAGAACACTATTCGGGGTTCTGTTTTTGTTAATTGGGGAGCTCGTTCCCCTTGTGCTTTGGCTTAGGGACACGTCGCTTTTCTTCCTGTGCCTTCTGGGAAAGGAGCGTTTCTGTGCCCCCGCTTTGGTGGGGGCATCCCTGCAGCTCCCGTCACGTCTCCACTAAGAAATGCCGGCTGCTGCCCAGGAATGTTCTGGAAGCGCTTCTCCTGAATGCCCTTGGCATCCAACTCCTGGGAAGTGGAAGGGATGCCACAATTCCTGCTTGGGGCCCACCTGGGACCGGTTCCGGTGCAGCTTCTCTGCATGGCACCGCAGGTGTCTCCGTGAAAGGGCTGAACAAATGCCACCCGTGCCTTGGATTGTTCTGCTGCTCTGTGAGCATCGAAGCTGGACCTGCCCGTCTAACTTTGTGGTGGACTACACCCCCCTCCATCCTACAAGCATGCCCCTCAGCTGAGGGCGAAGGGAGTTGTAGTCCTGCACTTCTGAAAGGCCCCTGGCTGATTTCTGCAGCAGCGGGTCTGTTGGGTAAAGTCGGGCGGGTGAGCAAGCCCTTCTCACGGTCCACCCCGAGTCTGCTGCCCCTCTGCTTCCCAGGACGGCCCTTGACTTTTCGCTGGTGTTGTGCAGCAGGGAGGGTGAAGCCCCCCTCTCTCCACATCCTGCACCCTCTCAGAAGCCCCCCTTGTGGCCCTGCCTCCCTTAGGGTCCCCGGACCTTTGTGGCCCTTCCTCCAGGGAGGGACTGCTCCAGCCTCTTGATCATTTTGGTCCCCCTTCCCTGCGCTCTTGAGGTGGGGGGCAGGGGCCCCCTGTGCAGCCCCGCCGGCCGTGACGAGGAGGGGGCCTTTGCTTGATCGGCACCGAGTGGCTGAGCCGCTTTCCCTGTCCCCCTTGCCCAGGCCCTCTGCGTCCCCACGTTCAGGCTCGTCGAGCAGCCAAACGGCCTCCAGAACCATCCGGACACGGTGGACGACCTCTTCCGGCTGGCCACCCGGTAGGTGGCCATGTCCTGGCCCAGTTCTCAGCTGCCGGGCTCCCGGTTGCCCCCCCCCCGGCCGGCCCGGGCGGCCCCCTGCTCCTTGCCAGAACCCTGCCAGAACACAGACGTGCTGCGTTTCCCCTATGGGGAAGGGGCGGATCCTTCAGCATGTGGGGCCAGGAGCACAGAGGGCCCCAAAGCTCGGTGAACAGGTGGGGGCGGGCGGCTCGGGGGCTCCCGGGAGGCCTGGGGCCGAGCGCTGGCGGCCCCTGGAGCTGCCCACGGGGCTTGCCGAGCCCGCACGCCCCTTGAGCAGCCTGCCCCCCCCCCACACAGGTTCATCCAGCGCAGCCCACTCACCCTGCTCCGCAGCCAGGTGATCCTGCCCATCCTGCAGTGGGCCATCGCGGCCACCACCCTGGACCACCGCGACGCCAACTGCAGCGTCATGAAGTTCTTGCGCGACCTCGTCCACACGGGAGTGGCCAACGACGTGAGTGGCTGGCGTGCGGAGGAGCCGTGGCCGGGCACGGCCTGAAAGCCGGCTGGCTCCGTGGGCCTGGGCCTGGGCTGCCCCTCTGCCTCCCCGGCTCCTTCCCGGGAGAGTCCGGCCGGGGGGCTCGTGCCTGGTCGGACTCGCCCTGGGCCTGCTCGTCGCTGACGCCCGGCCCGGCCCGGCCCTGTTGCGATCCTTGGCTCAGGGAAGCTGCCTCTCCTGGGCAGCACTGCGTGGAAGGGCTGGGCGTGCGTGGGGTGTTGCACACGGAAGCGCGGGATCCGGGCCTCTGGAAGCACGGGCCTGAGCCAGAGCCAGAGCCGAGCGAGGCAGCCTGTGGGAGCAGAGGCGCAGGTGGGCTCTGAGGAGGAGGCCGCCCTGCCGGTGGCCGGCGCCTGGCCCAGCTCCCAGGGAGAAAGGGGGCTGCCGCCTCCATGGCTCCGTGCCTTGGAGGGCGAGCTGCGACTGCGCGCCCAGCAGGATCTGGGTGGGGTGCCCCATGGTGGGGAAGGCGGCAGCCCCTCCTCCCCCGTCCCGCGCCCCCCTCGGTGACGGCCGCCCACCCGCCTGCCCCCCTGCAGCACGAAGAGGACTTCGAGGCGAGGAAGGCGCTCATCGGGCAGGTGATGACCCAGCTGGGCCAGCAGCTCGTGAACCAGCTCCTGCACACCAGCTGCTTCTGCCTGCCGCCCTACACGCTGCCCGACGTGGCGGAGGTGCTGTGGGAGATCATGCAGGTCGACCGGCCGGTAAGGAGGGGCGCGCGGGGGGCCCGGTTGGGGGTGGCCTGGGAAGCCTCCCTGGGGCTCCCTCTTCAGCCCGCCTTGGCTGTCCTTCCCGCAGGAGCGGAACCGTGCAAACGTGCCAGTTCTTTTCCGGGCCGCTCGCGTGACTCCGCTTGCGTTATCGATTAATTAAAGCTTTTTCTCTCCTGCCTGTGAGCTGAGACTCTCTGGGCAATTTACAAGACAAAGCCAAACCTGTAAAAGGCCATAACATGGAGCGTAATGGAAAGCCAGCCGTTTAAAGCAGAATAAACGCAAAGCCAGCGCCCAGGGTGCAAGCCAGCAGCCTTGCAAAGGCCTGCGGGGGGATGGACACCACTCTTAACAGTGGAGGGCCAGACAGCCCAAGAAAACAAGGTGGACTTCACCTGGCACTCCGCCTGTTTCAGTTCTAGACTGCCCAAATGTCCAATTTCACAACAAGTGTGTCAAACCCAGGAGTGTTAAAGTGCAACAGAAAACTTGCGAGCACAGAATTTAAAACCGCTTAATTAAAAACAACCGAAAGCCACAGTTAATCCTGTTCAGGCAGCTGACGGGTCCCATCCTGTGCCATTAAATGCCCAGGACCAGAGGGCAGAGGTATCGGAAGATGGCCAAGCACCAGGCCAGCACCTCCAGCTTCCAGATGGATGTGGTTTCATTTTCAGATCGGTGCTTGTCCTTGTAGTTGATGTTGTTTGTGAATGGTTTTTGATATAGTTGTTTTATCACTGTTCTAAGTTTTTATCTTAAATTTTGGCTTTTTTTGCTAGCCACCCTGAGCGCCCAGTAGAAAGGCAGGGCCCAAGTTAGTGAGGTATTGTTTTATTCGATGCATCCCCTCTGGCACTTTTTGAAAGCCTGTGGAGGGCTGTCTGGGGAGGCCCCGCGGGGGCAGCAGCCTCGTCCGAGGCTAAGCCATGATGCCGCTTGAGAAAATCCAGTGTGTTGCCGCTTCCTTTGAGCCCTGACCTGACCCGGCTGGCCCAGGATGGGCTCTTGTCTTTCCCGAGCCTCAGTGGAGAACATTTTCCTGGCTCTGCTGCCCCGCCTAGAACCTGGACCTGGTGGAAAGGGTGCCATTCCTGGTAACCCGTCCAGGTTCTTTAAAAACGCCCGAGGGTCTCAGGTCACGTGCTCTGAGCTGAACAACTTGGGGGCCTGAGGGGCCACAGTAATGCAGTGCCTCTTGCTCTGGTTGCTGCCCCCCCGCCCAGACCTTCTGCCGCTGGCTGGAGAACTCGCTGAAGGGCTTACCAAAGGAAACGACGGGGGGAGCAGTGCAGGTGACGCACAAGCAGCTGACGGACTTCCACAAGCAGGTGACGAGGTCAGTGCAGCCCCCTGGCTGGGCCGGCGGCTGGGGGCGTGGCGGGGTCTCCAGCAGCCGTGCCAGGCGCCCCGCGTGCCTGCCCGTCCTGGAATCCGCGGCCGGCTCCCGAACGGCCGGGGACAGGCCACTGCCCGCGTGTGCGGGGGGGGGGGGGGGGGGGGGGGGGGGGGGGGGGGGGGGCCCGGCCGCCTGGGCCGAGCGGAGGGGGTCCCACGAGGAGGAGGAGAGGGACGCCCCAGCGGAGGCCGCTGCGCCACTCGGACGCGCCCCGCCCCGCGGCTGTGCCCGCACTGGAAGGCTGACAGGTGTCTCCTCCCCCCAGCGCTGAGGAGTGCAAACAGGTTTGCTGGGCTCTGAGGGACTTCACCAGACTTTTCCGGTAGCCTGCACCGCCTTCGCTCTGCCTGTCCCAGGTAAGCAGAAACCGCCGTGGCGGCCTCAGGGCCCCGGTGCCCAGGTGCTGGGGGGTGCCAGCCACCAGCCTCTCCTGGTGTTTCTCTCGGAGCCTCTTTCTTTAAATCTGAGTGTCGACCTCCCCCCTTGCAAAAAATGACGGCACGTACTTCTGGTGCCGTGTGCGTGCGAGAGGGTCCTGCGCCAGAGGTGCCCTCAGCCTTGTTTCGACCGACGGGCTGCCTCTCCCTCCCCAGCCGCCCACGTCGGTCCACCGGGCCCACGAGTTGGCAGCCTGCGTGGGGCACGAGGGCCCTTCGGGGCCTCGTCTGGGGCTGCCGGGAGAGGCAGAGCTGCTCACGTGCCGCCTGCTGTCCCCGGGGCAGCGCAATCCAGCCAGGATTTCTCTCGGGCGATGCTCAGGGCGAAGGGTGAGATGCGCCCCTCCAGTTAGTTTCCGCGATGCTTGCGCCGCAGAACTTTTCTGGTGGATTGGTTCCAAATGCCCCACATCCCTAAGAACCACCTGCGAAAACGCCCCCACCCCACGTAAAATGCCTCGGGAGGGCCCCCCGCAGCATGGGATTCCTGCCCAGTTTGGGGCAGCTCGTGCAGGGAAGCGCCCTTGCGCTCGCAAGGGGGTGCTGACCCTCCGTTGACGCCCCCCGCACAGGAATGTCTTATTTTCAGAAGAGGAAAGAAAACCACCAGGACGGCGTCCCGCAACCAGCAAACTTCCTTGCGGCCGAGGGCGCTGCCTCGCTCTGGTGTGTCCCACCAACCCGGAAGAGACGCTTCGCCGCACAACCGAGTCGGTGAAGTTCCTGCTTGTGAGAGAGCGAAAACACAACACACCCCCAGGGCGCAGCGTGTCCACGGCCATTGATGGCTGCACCTGCCCGACGGCATCGCGGGGGGGGGAGCCAGTTTCCAGGTGGACTTGCTTTAAAAAAGAAACAAAACTAAACAAAACATACAAAAAAAGGAAAAAAAATGTTTTTAAAAACGCAAAAAGATGAACCCATAGAAAACTAATCTGCCTGGCAGCAAAAAAGATGGGGAAAACAAGGTAGAAAACTTTCTGTGAAATGAAAATAAAAGAATTACGTAAGGATCTGTTGGGATTTTAAAAATCTAGTACAACCCATAGTCTGCCCTGCAGGGGAGGGGGGAACCGGGGAGCACGGTCCCGTTTTCGCAGACCCCCTTTGCCGATAGCCAGACCTCTGCCTCCCCCCACCGCAAGTCTAATGGGAAGTTTGTTTGATGCGAGAAGCTGCCATGGAGCACGGGAGGGGCTGACGCCCCCCCCCCCCCCCCCCCGCAGGAGAGAGGGCCGGGAACACTCGGCTTCTCTGGTCCCCTCGGCGCGTTGCTTGCTTTGATAAACTGTTATAATATATATTATATATATTTTCTTTTTTTAAGTTGATTTGGATTTTTTGAAAATTTGGTTTAAATTTGTTTGGGATTTTTTACGGTGGGGGGAGGAGGGGCTCTGGAGAACACGTGGCGGGCGGGCGGGCGGGCGGGCAGAGGACACCGAGCCAATCCGGCAGTGACTCGGGCGGGGGAAAGAGTCGCGGACCCTGCGCAAACGTTAGGACCGGAGGGGATGCTGTTCCGTCTGGTGTTGTAGCCATCTCGAGAACAAGACAATAAACACAAAGAAATAAAAACAGACAAAAAAAGATCACACTGCCGCCGTCTCCGTAGCAGCTTTGTCCGGGGGACTGACTGTCGGCCTCGCCCGTGTGCCCGGCCCGGAGGGGAAGAACCGGCTGGCGGGCTTTGGGGAGCACGGAGGCGCTTGTGCCTCTGAGCTGCACCAGGCTCCGTGTGGGGCCTCCCCTGCCCTGCGGCGAAGCTGCCAGCCAGTGGCCGGCTGCCCTGCAAGGCGCTGCTGCCGGCCCGTGCCAGCCGGCCCCCCATCCAGCGTCCCAGCAAGTGCCTCGCTGGGCTTGCGCGGGCGAGTGAGGCGCAGAGCCGTGCTGTGTGGCCGGCTGGGGGTTGAAGGCCCGTCCTGTCCCGGTCGGCCTGGGGCTGCCTCTGCCTTTTCCTGGAGACTCGGTGCGAACAGGCAGGGAGAGGAGACGCGTGTTGGGCATTTTGTGGGCAGGGAAAGCTGGAGCCGGCCCGAGTGGACGGGCAGGCCGCCGTGGGGTGCAGCTGCGACGTGTGCATCCCGTTGCAGTGTCACGCAGGAGAACGCGCGTCTGCTTCAGCTCGAACTGTTGCGGGAATTAGTGCAATGGCACCGTGGACCAACCCACAGGGGCACACGGGGCGCTTCCTCCTCCTGCCCCTGAACTCTCAAGGCGTTTCTTGCAGCGGGACCTTCGGCTTGAGTTTGGAGGAGGCCTTGGCGTAATCAGTGCTTCCTGCCCGCTGCCTCGTGCGCGCCATCTCGCCACCAAGCCGGGCGTGAGCAGCCATCCAGGCCCGGCAGCTCCCGTTGCCCCGGCCAGAGGTGGCCACCGTCCCGCCGTGAAGGCAGAGCCCCTTCCCTGGCACGAAGCTCCTTTCCCAGGACCCTGCAGAGGAGCCGAACTTGAATTCCCATCTCCCAGCCAGAGGGGCCAGTGGGCGCAGCGGGGCACCAGTCCCCTGGTGGGAAGGGGGGGGACCCAAGCTTGTGTGAACAGATGCTCTGGCGCGCCCCAGCTTCTGCTACGCCAATTTCTGAAACTGGAAACGGTGGTGCTTTGGGGACGGGAACAGGCTGGGGACCGGATGGGCGAGTCGTGGCTGTTACTCGTGTGGTGCCTGGGAAGCGGTGCTGCTGTCCTGCCCCGCACGACGGTACCTTTGTGTGGAATTTGGCAAGGGACCCGAACTTGCCCCCCCCCCCAAGGACTGATCAGCCACTGCAGACCACAGTAAATGCGTTTATTCACAAGGAGGCCGCCACAAGGCCCGCTCGCCTGCTTTTCAGGACCCCTCTGCCATGGTGTGGCACAGCCTTATCCCTCGGCCCACCCAAGTCGGCAGCCGCTCACGGGGGAACACGCCGGAGCGCCCCGTTCGATGAAACCGGCAGCCCTTCCCCAGAAGAGCTGGACTCCGCAGCCGGCACACCACTTCCCCCTCCAGCATTCCGGCTTTGTTCACCTTGGGGGTGGGGGGCAGCCGTTCCCCTCCCGCCCCGAGCCCCCTTGGGGTCCAGGGCTTTGCCCCACACTCTCGAGCAGCACTTGGCCTCCGGCCAGGCCCGAGGGCGGCTTTTTGAACACGGTCCCTTTGGAAGAGCGACACGCGGCCCCAGGCGTCGTGCACGGCCCTGGCAGGAGGGTGTTCCTGTGATGCGCCGAGGTCGTCTCGGGGAAGCGCACGAAGATTCGCTGCCCGTGACAGCCCTGCACCGCAACCTGCGCGGATCCTGCGGGCCACGGCCCTCCGCGCTCGTCCGGCCCTGCTCGACGGGGCCAGCCAGGCGCCTCTGCCGCCACTTTTCGCAAGGCTCTGTCCACGGACCCGTGCCGACGGTCCTCGCAGCGGAAGGCGAGCGTTGCAGCGCCCACCAGACATGCTGTCCGCCGTGGTGGGACACGGCCCTGAGCGGACGGCCATCGCTTCTCGCTGCAACTGGTCCTTGGCAGCACCCAGACGGCATCCCTCCCGGTCCCGCGGCGCTTGCGACGGATTCACACGTGTGCCGCCAGCCGCCTCTGGGCTCGGGAGCTCCCAAGGGACGACCCAAAATGCTTCGGTGCCGGGGCTGTTCGGCTTCCCCCTCCGCGCCCACCAGGTGAGCTTTCTGGGGACACAGCTGGGCGGTGGATCGAGGCCCGGTGCTCGCACCTTGCGAGACCCCGCTTGCACCTGGCAACGCTGCCCGCTGCCCGGTGAGGCCAGTCCAGCTGATCCCCCGCTGCCCCACCCAGGCGCTGGCCCAGCCGCTCTGCCGCCGCGTCTCCCCACCCTCCCGCCGCTTGGCTTCCCCTCCTCCGATGGCCCCCGGAAGCCCCCTTGCCCACGATGGGCAGCGCGGGCTCCTCCGAACTGAAGGCCGGCCGAGTCACAGGGTGGGTGAGCAAGTCCCGGCGTGGGAAGGGGTGGGGAGACGGCGGTCCCGTGGGGCTGCCACCGGCCCCGAGCTGCGCGGGGGCCCCCCAGCCCGGAGGGGCCCCAGACGGCTGGCGGCTGCTACTGCTGCATGCTGCTGCTGGTCTGCATGGCCCAGCCGTCGGCCCCCGCAGGCGCCAGGCTCTGCAGTTGGACGTTCTGCTGCATCTGCCAGAGCTGGTGCAGTTCCTTGAACTGCTCCACCATCTTGTCCTTGAGGTCTGGGTGCGAGATCTGGAGGCGGACGCTGTCGGCCGACCAGGACAGCTCCCCAGAGAACATCTCCAGCAGGAGCCGGGCAGCTACTGGGACCACCTGTGTGTTCAGAACGGGGAGGAAGGATTAGCGCAAACCACACGTCCATCCAGGCCAGCCTCTGTCTGCAGCCGTGGCCACTGAGATTCCCCAGTGGCCCCCCCCCCCCGCCAGCGGTACAGGAAGCCGTCAGTCCCCCCTGCGCCGGTGCTCCTCAGAGACACAGAATGCAATACTTTGCAAAACTAAGTATCTAGAAATCTAGACCCATCCAGAATATTTGCGGCAGTTCTGGTCCTCCTACCCCTGAAGGGATAAAGTAGAACTCAAAATCATCTATTAAGCCAAGAAAAAAAATAAGGCTACAATCAACACACACTTTGCTTGGAGTAAACGCCATTCAATTCAATTGGATTTTTAAGTCAGGCTTTATTGAATTGTGTGGCTAAAAGAGCAAGGCTGCACATTCCTCCCCATAGGAGAGGCTGAAATGGCTGCACCTTGCAAGCTTTGCCCAGGTAAGAAAAATGGCTTTTTTTCTGCAGGAAAAAAGGAGGGTGTTCACCTCTACATCCGAAGGGAAAGTTTGGGTTGCACGAGAGCAAAAGTGCAACTCAGAGCATCTGTGGTCACTTTTGAAATTGGTTCTGCTCCCCCTGATGGCTTCCAAAACCCTCCTCAGCTTTTCTGGCAACTCACGGAAGTTGCTGCTGTGATAGGAGGTGGTCCCCATGAGCGCACACAGGTTTGTACACACACCTGTGCAATTTGCATCACAATCCCATGCTTATTTAAATAAATCCCACTGCAGACGCTTTCTAGTCATTCTGCTCAGGATTGCTGTCTTGATCTTATTCAAGGGCGAAGCTGCCTGCATCAACGGGGCACGTGGGGACCCCGAGGACTCGCGATGCCCCCCCATCTTCAAAGGGGCAGCCTTTTCTCTCCAGTCCGCTTGAAGCGTGTCAAGTGGGTCTCAAAACCTGCTTTCTGCCAGTTCTGCTTCGCGGCCCAGAGAAACAGAAGCTGCATCTCCATCCCAAGGCAGAGAACCACTGCCAGGTTCCAGAGAACGGTGAGCATCGTCTTTCCCTGCTTGCAAACTGTCCAGTGGAAAGTCTGGCCTGGCTTTTCAGAACTGGACTCAACTTTTGAATTCCAGCTTTTTAAGGCACAGAGGCCGGAAGGGCAATTTAGCATTGGGACAGGATGGGGGACCATGCAGGGCATCGCTTGTGAAGTATTATTATTCATTTCACTTTTACACTGCCCAATGGCTGAGGCTCTCCAGGCAATTTACAGAAGTTGAAAACGCACAACCAAGAAAGAGAAAAAAATAGCGTAACGCAATAAAACCACAGCAAGGAATGAAACTGTCTGGCATTCACCGCCCCCCCCCCCCCCCCCCCCCCCCTCCGGTCCGGCAAAGAGGTTTCCTTTGCTCACATCCACCCACACCACCTGGACGGTTATGAGCTTCTTCTCTTTGGGCTTCTGGTCCGGCCATTCTTCCCCAAAGCAGAAGAAAATTTCGTAGGGCGGCGGGACGGTGCTTTGACCCTTCTGGAACCGGATGAGGCCTGGGGAGCGAGCAAAGACGGGAAGCAAAGCAGGGTCAGTGTGCCGGGGGGAGAAAAGGGCCGGCACCCCTTGGGGGAGAAGTGCGCGCGACGAGGGATCCAGTCACGCACAAAGGGCGTGCATGCGTCGCGCCTCCTGGGACCTTCCCACAGGCCCTATTTCTCTTACCACAATCTCACCGTTTTGAGGCCTGCCCTGGGAAAATGAGACCCTTGGGCTCTGGGAAATGCAAGATCTCTGCAGGGGACCCCCCTCAATTTACACCCCCCCCCCACTAGAAGTTACTATTTATTCCCATGCCCTGGATTCTGTTCTTTAACCAGCTACCAATCCTTAAAGTTACAGCCACCGCCCCACTGCTTCTTATTTCGTGGCACTGAGTTTGCCCGGGAGCCTTTGCCAAAAGCCCTCCGGAAGTCGAAGGGCACGGCGCCCACCCCCCACTCCTGCCTGCAAGTTACTGATGCCCTCAAACAGGTCACTGAGGCGAGCTTGATGCGTTTGCAGAAGCCTCGGCTGGTTTTCGGGAAGGCCCGTCCCTCCGCGAGCCTCAGTCATTCCGCCTTTAATCCCACTTTCAACCGGTTCCCTGCAAACAGGCATTCCGCTCACCAGCCTGCGATCTTCCAGTCCCTTCTGAAGCCCTTCCTAAAAAGCTGGGGTCGCACTGGCCTTTCCCCAGCCCTCAGGTGTGGGCGCTCATCCTAAGGACACACCACGCAATTTTGTAAGGTCGGCAACTTCACGTCTGAACTCTCTCAGAGCTCTGGGATGGGGCCACCTGGGAACATGCTCTCCGCTCGTTAGGAAGGTTGAGAACTTCATCTCTCGCCACCACAATCCGCCTTAATTCCTCAGACACGCCCCCGCCATCCTTAAATTCAGGCACAGGGGTCTGCCCTGTATCCTCTGCCGTGGGGCTGCAAGAAAAGCACCCATTCCACCGCGAGGAAATCGCCGTACGCTCCTGCGATGCTTCCATAGCCCGATTCCCGCTTCTGGGAAATCCTCCTTTGCTGGCCGTGGCGATATGAGCAATAAGCCCCTGAAAAGGCCGCGCTGCTCATGTTTCCGCGTGTTCGGCAGCCTGGGCCAGGCTTCCATTTTCTGAAGGAAGCGTTTCTCCCACTGGCTCGCCGGACGGAGCTGGTGAACCCTGCTGCTGAGGCCCCGTCCTCTCCCGCAGCACCCCCCCCCCCGAGCGCCATGGCTGCGGTTTGCAGCACCCTCCGTGCGCGGGGGGGGGCTGGATTCGACCCTCGGGCTCCCCCTCCAGCTTCCTCCTTGCCACTTCCCTCATTTTGGAGCGGCTTCCTCTTTCGGAGGCCAGTGTGACCGCGCCAGACTTCCCTGGCCATGTGCCGATTCGGTGCGCGGAAATCTGCCAGCCCGGGCCTGCAGTCCCCAGCCAGGTCCCCCACAATCCCCCCACCCCCCGAGCCTGGAATCCTGGGAAGGGAAGGAGGGCACCCCCCGCCCCCCGTGCACATGGCCTGCCCTGGCGTGGCCCCCTCTCACCGTTGAGGAAGCTCTCCAGGCTGAAGAGCTTGGTTTTCCGCTCGCGCTCGATGGGGTTGGGCCCCGCCAGCTCGCCGGCGCAGGGGCCCGTCCAGAAGACCTTGCACTGGCACAGGCGGACGGCGTAAATGTCCTGGCCCTGCAGCTCGAGGAGGAGGCCCCGATCCAGGACGTCCAGCAGCTGGTGGGTGTAGAAGCGCTGCTTCTCGTTCGGCAAGGCCGCGGCGCTGGGGAAGCGCACCTGCTCCAGCGTCACCGGCCCGAAGAGCTCCACCTGCTCCTGCGTGGGCTCCAGGTTGCTGAAGTAGAGACGGCACCCGTGCGGGTTGCTGATGGTCAGGGCCTCCGCCAGGCGGCCCCGGTACTGGAACTTGATCTCCAGGTCGGTCACTGCGGGGCGGGGGGGGGGGGGGCACGTCAGCCTCGGAGCGGATCGCCCCCTCTGGGGCACGGCTCTCTGGGCAAGGCCCCCGGAAACCCTCTGCAGAGCCTGTGGCGCAGGATGGGGCCCAGCCAGGCCCACCGATGACACCCCCCCCACACACACATCCCCCTTCCCGGGCTGGGGACCCCCGGAACCGGTTTGGGCAGGGACTCCTCAGCTTTCCCATCTGAGAAATGGGGGCACGATAGGAGCCACATTACCGGATTCGTGGAAGGATGCGCCGCTGTGCGTTTGCTTCCTGTGCAGGGATCAGTTCTGATCATCCACGTGGGCCCTGCGCCCCCCGCCCCCCACTCTGAAGCCTCCTGCTCCAGCACGCTGGGCTGGCTGCCTCCTCTGCAGCCCCTTCTTTCAAGGCAGCTGTTTCAGTGGGGGGCGGTTTCCCCGGGCCCCCAATTTATCTGCTGCCCAGGCCCCCGCTTTTTATCAGATGGTATTGTGCAGCAGGGGGTTTTGGGGGAGGGCGCAGATTTTAAATGCCTCTGCCGTTTGGTGTTTGTTCCGTGAGCTGCCCCGAAAAGCAGGGCTGTGCCGGACACGGTGCGCCCACGATCCTTCCCACACCCGCCCACGTGAGCGCACCAAACCAAGAGGCAGGGCGCAACACAGCCAGAGGGGGGGTGGAGGCAAGGCAGCCCGCCCCACGCTGGAGGGGTCGCCCTGCACCCTGGGGGCAGGGAACCCCCTCGGCCCCACAGCCCAGCCCTTCCTAGCCGCCCCCCCCGCCCACTCCCCGCAGGAATCCTTACGTGGCAGCATGTGCGGGCTGATCAGCAAGTTCGGGATGAACTGCTCCACAGGGACGACGGGGCAGCCCCCCGGGGGCAGCGGCTCCAGGTCTCCCGGCATGGCCATGTTCCCCGGGCCGAGGGGCTCCAGCGGCATCCCATGGGCGGGCTCCGGGAAGCCGGGCACGGCGGGCTCCGCTCCGACGGCAAAGGGCCCCACGGGGTGGGGAGCGGGGGGGACGACCGGGACCTCCGGGTGCGCCAGCTGTGGGAAGGACTCGTTGCCACAGGCGCTGGGGTAGAGGGCCTCTCGCTTCAGCCACGAGAAGGCGGGCAGGGGCTCCGCGCCATGGCTGGCGTCTGCGGACAGAGAGACAGCCCCACGGGCAGCTGAGAAAGCGATCGCGGAGCCGGCGCTCCAGCCCCACCAGGCCAGCCTCCCCCGCAAGAAGCGGCAGGGACCCTTCCCGGGCTCCCTTGGAGACGTGGGCGATGGCGGGAGACGAGCGCCTTTTCACCGCTCTTGCTCGAGGGAACCACGGTGCCCAGCGCGAGAGCTCCCTCTCTCCCTTGTGCGTGTCGTGCCATGGGATGCGCACGACTGCGCCCGACTGCAGCCGCAGGGGTCTGTGAAGCTGCAAGAGGGCACCTCTGCCCTCCTGGCCTGCTGCCCCCACTGAGCCTCTGAGCAGAGGATATGGATTTTTTGTTTATGCTCGAGGCTGCATGCTCAGTTTTTCCATACTGAAAAGGAAGCAATACACAGACGGCTGTTTTAATAACTGAGGAATAGGGAATGTTGGACTGGATCCCTTCCCCATTTTTCTGCACCTGCTGAGTCCTTTTTTTAAAGAAGAGACAGGGATCCTGGCCGGCAAGGACAGAATCTTCTGGGCACCCCAGGACATCCTGGAGCAGGGCCGGCTGGCCAACCCCACAAAGACGGGCTCCCTCACAATGCCACGTTCTCTCTTCCTGTGGGCAATTCCTAAGTCCTGCCCCCACGTGAATACGAGCCAGTGGGCTTATTTTCTCCCATTCCGGCCTCCTGGGAGGAAGGCTTCCAGTGCCTCCCAGAAGGTCTCCTGCCCAGCACACGGATTCCTGGGCAGTGCTGGCACAGGATGGGGCGGAGAGCATGGGATAGTGCCCCCAGCCAGCTCGGCTCCCCCCTCACCCACCTGCGATCCGCAGCGTCGGCATCATCTCCTGCAGCTGCAAAGGAAGCGCCGGGGTTAGTGGTGGGCAGGGCCCGGCAGAGCCCCTCGCGAGAGGCAGCGCCGCGCTGGGGGGAACCGCACTGACGGGGGGGAGGCCGGGGACGGGGGGCCAGGCAGCGCTTTCCTACCCCGCCTGAGGACTCCGGGAGGCATCCGGCGGGCCCCGGCTGGGAGCAGCACGCTGGGCACCCCGCCCAGGGCTTGGGTCGGGGATGGGGGCCCTGCGCCCCCCGCCAGCTTGACTGGACGCGCTGGGCAGCTGGCCAAGGTCACTGGCGAGCACGACGTCTCGAACCGTGGCCCAGAGTAGCACGGGGGCCCTTCCCACGGTGCCGCTGCTCGGAAGCGAGCGATGGGGCTACCCGGGAAAGGCCTCCTCAGCATGGGCCCCGTTTATGGAATGCCCCCCGGGAGCCCCGCCTGGCACCGTCACGGGCACAGCAAGCGCCTCATCCTTCATTGGGGGATCCCATGATTAATTTCTGGCTGGCTCCGTCAGGTTTTAATTGTTTTTAACATGCAGTATTTTTATCACTGCAACTTTTGATTTCTCCATTGTGGTTTGTGGGGGGGGCTCATTTCATGACTGTAAATGATCCCTGGGGCACTCCTGGCAAATACAGGCGCACAGCATGACCATCCTGCTGTTGGATTCCAACTCCCATCAGCTCCAGCCAACACGGACAATATGTAGGGAGGCCCGGAGTCAGTCAAACGACTTCTCCCCGTTCACTGGGTCACTGCCCCCAGGCCGGTGCCCACATGTCCGCTCGTAGCTCAACCCCTAACAGCCCAGGCAACTGGAAGCTGTAGTCCAAAGCATGTGGCAGCTCGGGAAGCCGGCTCCACGGGGCTCTTTGCCTGGGGGCCGCAGTGCATTCTGCTTCGGCGTCTGCCGCCCCCCAGCCCTCAGCGGATGAAGCCCACCACCTCCGACTCCCGGGCGCCGTCGCTCACCTCCTCCTCCTCCTCACATCCGGCGTTTTCCTCTCCAGCAAAGCTCTCTGCAAGGGGAAGGAGGACGGGCCGTGAGTGCCCCAAGCGCCGTGGGGGTCGGACGCTGCCAAGGCCCCCCCCCCCCGCAGCAGTGCTTGGCCCGCCCCCGAGGCAGAGCCCTGCAGCTTTCAACAGCCACAACAGCCTGGCTGACCCACGGAATGGGTCTCGCCAAACCGCGGTTTTCAGGTGCTTGTTCCATACACACCGGCGCCCTTCGGCACTGCCCTTCTACGTGAGCAGAGGCTGCCCCGAATCGTGGGAAGCAGAGGAGGCCGGTGCAGTTCCTCCGTGCCGGCCCCAGGTTCCGGGGGGTCCTGAGCAAGGCGCTCCCTGGCAGCCCCCTCTTCCTCCTGCCGCTCCGCCTGCAGAGGGTGCCAGGGAGCACGGGGGCGGCAGCATCTCCCGCCCCTCCGCGCCAGAGCGAGGGGCCGCTGGACACAAACCCCGTGGGGGCCCAGGCACGCCTCCTCTGACCCGGGCCTTGCCGTTCTGCCCTGCCCAACTCCGTCGGGACCCTGCCTGGGAACGCAGGGAAGAGCACGCATCCCCGGGAGCAAAGATGGCAGAGAGAGAAAGCGCAGCGGGGCCGGACCGGAGGGCGGAGAGCGGTTTGGAAAATACACGGCATCCCACTCGCACGCGAACGACGGCGACACACGTGCATTTCACAAAAAGCACCTCCTTGGCCAGGGGAACCGCTCAGAGACCAGGCGGGGCAGCGGGAGAGAAGCGCTTCAGACGGAGGACCGGAAATGCGAGCAGCGGGCAAAGCCGGCACAGACCTTTCCTGCGAGGGGCCGGCCCTCGTGCCGCCCTGTGAGGCCGCGCACCGTGCCAGGGGCCCCCGGTGGCCTAAGGGGCCTTTTGTAGGGCTCAGGTATGCAGCACCTGACGGAGCAGCTCCTGCAGAACAAGTGCGCCCGTACGCTTTTCCTCGAAGACCCTCCCGCAGGCGCCTCCGCTGGGGAAGGCTTGGGGCAGGTTGGGCTGTTACGTCAGAAACATGGTAAATACTTCCGCGCGTCTCTGCATGCGCAGATATTGTCAACTGATCCGTCTCCATGCTACGCATAATATCATTATTTCTAAGGTTTTTGATCTCTCTAAATCACCTGGAGAGCTTTGGCTATTGGGCTTGGGACCTGGATTCCTAAAGGAGCCCCTGCGTCTGTATCTGCCCTCCTGCCCCTTGAGATCTGCGGCAGAGGCCCTTCTCCGGGAGCCCTCCGTGAAGGACATTAGGAGGGCGAGTACCCAGAGGAGGGCCTTCTCTGCGGTGGCGCCCCACCTGTGGAACGCGCTCCCCAGAGAGGTCCGCCTGGCGCCGTCGTTATTTGTTTCTCGGCACCAGGCCAAGACCTTTTTATTTAAACGGTATTTGAATAATCATTGATTTTACTTACTGGTTTTATAATCTTGTGCCAGGATGTTTCCGGATTTTATATATGTATGTCTTCATTTATAATGTTGGAAGCCGTCCCGAGGCTTATGCGAATGGGACGGCATGGAAAAATTCCAAATAAATAACTAATAATAAATATCGGGCAGTGCAGACATGAAGGAAGCCAGAGGGGCACAGCTGCACAGGTGAGCAACAGAAACAGGGTGCAGGTGCACCCCGAATCCTGCATCGCAGCCAGGCCCCCAGAGGGCGCCTCTGGCAGAACCAGCCTGGCTTCACTGGTAGCCCTACAAGCCTTGGGGATGCGGGAAGGCAGTGGGGCTGCAGGTGCCACCGGGCCACGTGAAGGGAGGCGCCACGCTCTGGCCACTGTGCCCCTGGACGCTGCGATCCACTCTGGGGGCTGCCTCCACTGACACCGCCAAGGCAGGCTCGGTTGGTGGCGTCAAGCAGCAGGGCCTTTCCAGTGGCTGCCCCGATTATGGCACAGGCTCCCCGCTGAGGCCCACCTGGCAGCAGGTCGATGCTTTCCTCTAGCGCAGGCATTCAATGAGTTGGGGCTCTGTTAGGTTTTTAATCCAGGCTCAATCAGGTTTTCTCTTGCTTAAGTTATTGGAATTATAGATTGAAATGTAGTTTTACATGTGGTTTTAATATTTTTGCAGGGCAGTTTTTTGTCTTTAATGTGTTTCTATTGTGGTGCATTTTAGATGGCATTTTAACGAATTGTTGCAAGCCACCCAGAGAGCTTTGGCTGATGAGCAGTGCAGAAATTTAATTAAATCAATTAAGTAAGTAAACCATACCCCCCTGCTCCCTCGCCCTATTCTTGCGCCGAGGGGACCACATGGTAAAACCCGCAGGTCCCAGAACTACTCTCCCCTAGAGCTCAGCTCCACACGAGGGTCTGCAGGGGCTCAGAGCAGGGTGCCAGCACACGCCTGGGGTGCCGGGGCCCCACCTCCGTGGGGGTGGCCTCACACCTTACAGCTGGCCTCCCCCAGCCCCTTGCTTTCCGGTCGGGCTGCTCTCCGCGCCCAGCATCCCCAGCCAGCACGGCCTTTGGGAGGCGGGGGCCAGTACGGGTGGAGGGGGCCAGGCTGGAAGGAGGCTAATCAAGGGCATATTTTGAACTACTGAGCCCCTGCTCTGGGACGGCTGTATTTTTCTAGCAACTCGCTGGCCAAAATCCCTGGTTTTTAAATTTGTAAAAGTCTGGCAAGCAGAAAGCAAGCAAGGAGAGCGCAGAGAAACTGGAGGAGAGAGAGATAGAGAGAGACTGGGGCTTGGGCAGTGGGCCTTAACACGGAACGGGGTAATCTCCTTACATTGTGAAATCCTGGAGGTATGGGAGCAGCGGGTTACAAAGATGACAAGGTTACAAGTTATGCTTCCTTAGAGAGGCTGTGGACAGACACCACTTTCCCCCAAAGAATTCAGGGAGGGATGACAGAAGCACTGCTGCCCCGGTGTACAGCTACTCATCCCAACACTGGCCATGTTAAACAGGTTTTGCAGGCTTTTTGCAGAGCTTCAAAAACCTGCTGAACCTGTTTGAAAAGAGATGGCGATCAGTCAGGTAAAATGAGCAGGCGTGCATCACGGGCAGCCATGGCTTCCGCTTTCAGTTTGTGTTGGTGGGGCAGCCCTCCCCTAGCAGCACACTGTTCCCCATGCTGGGGGGAAAGGCTGACAGATGCAGCCCTGCGAAGGTGCGCAAGGGCATCAGGAGAGCCCTGCTGGGGCAGGCTGGGGCAGACGGGCGTGTTGGTCCACCCGGTCCTTGTCCACGAGAAGGCCGCCAGCCACGACATCTTGTGGGAGGGAGTTCCGCAGGCGACCCTGCAGGGCCACCACCCATGGCGAGGACGGCCCCCGTGAGAGAGAGGCGGGCCTCCCCGCCCAGGCTGGACCGTGGCCCTCGCTGGAACATCCCGGCCAGAACCGCCCGCAGGCGGCACTTCACGGGCGGCCGCGCCACCGGCTGGCGCAAGGGGCGCGTGCGCTCGCCTGACGACACCCGAGGGGGCGCTCGCTCGCCGCGTTCGGGCCACGGGGCACGGGCCGGCCGGTACCTCCGTTGGGCTGCTGCAGGTCGCGGACCTCATAGATCTTGTAGGGCTGCATCGGGGTGTCCTTGGTCCCATCATAGATCAGGCCGAACTCGCGGCTCTTGTTGAGGGCGCAGCGCAGGTTGGCCTTCCACTTGGCCGGGTCCGGCTCGTCCACCCCCTCGCTGTACTTGCCGGTCTCCTTGGCCCAGGCCTGCGGGACGCGGAGCAAGAGGCGGGGGAAGAACGGGCGGCGGGGAGGGCGTCCAAGCGGCCCCCAGCAGGAGCGTGCACTGCGCGTGCCAGCCGCCCCTCCGGAGCAGGAAGGGCCACTTGGACGGGCGAGACGGAGGGCGGCTGGGCACTCGCCTCGGCTAGCGAAGCCAGAAAGGCGCTGACCAAGGAATTCTGCAAAGCTGGGCAGGGAGTTCTCCCCAGTGCCCGTCTCCTCCGGAGCACGGGGCTTCCTTCCTGGGGACAGGCAGGCCTAGATAAAAAGGGCCAAGCAGCACCCCAAGTCTTGGGATGGGAACTTTTTCTCCGTCTGAATCCAAGCGGCGCTGCTGCCGGTCTGGGCTGAGTCCAAGCAGTGCTGCTGCCAGCCCAAGTTGTCAACACTGGGGCTCGCTGGCAAGACAGTCCAACCCTGGCCAAGGCATGGGGGTGCCACTCCTTTTAACGGGAGCAGAAACGCTCAGCACTATTAAGGGGGGCCGTGCGAGGCCTCCGAGAAAAGGTGCGGATGCTTGGCTTGGAGGTCCCGCTAATGCTGCCTGTTAGGCCGGGCAGGCGCAGATTCCAGGCCAAGCAAAGCACCCACAAACCAGCAGGAGGAGACCAGATGGGAGGAAGCAGGGCCAGTGTGGTGCAGTGGTTAGAGCACGGGCCCGGGACTCAGGCGATCTGGGTTCTAGTCCCTGCTCAGCCATGGAGCCAACTGGGTGGTTTTGGGCCAGTCACAGACTCTCAGCCCAACCTGCCTCACAGGGTTGTTGTTGTGGGGATAAGATGGAGGAGGAGAATGATGTAAGCTGCCTTGAGCCCTTTGTTGGAAAAAGGCAGGATATAAATTGAAAAATAAATTAAAAAATAAAATAAATTCTACCAATCCTGCCCGAGCCAGCAGCTGCTTTCCTCCTCCCTCCACACCTGCTTTCCTTGCATGCCACGTCTTTTAGGCTGTCTCATCCGGCAGCCTTTTGGGCTGAGAAGCAGGGCCAGTAAGGCCGGCCAGGCCTCCGTTCTCGCTGGCGGGGGACACGCAGGGCTGCCGCCTCCCCCCCCCCCCGCACCTTGAATATGGTGTTCTCGTCGTCCTGGCTGGGGATGTGCCGTGTGGCGTGGCGCCAGGGGATGCAGAAGCGCTTCCGCTCGGGCTGCACCCAGCGCAGGCCGGGGTACTGGCCGCTGTTCACCTGGGCCACCAGCCAGGGCTTCAGGCGGATGCGGCGCGGGTGCGTGGTCATGGTGGCGCCGTCGGCCGGGGAGCCCCTCCTGGGGAGAGAGGGGGGAAGCGGTCAGGAAGCCCCGGCACAGAAAGCGCCTCGCTGAAGCCCTGGTGCCCCCCTGGGTGCCCCCCGGGGAGGGCTCCGCACTCGGGGGGCAGCCTGAGCCCTGCACCGGGCCGGGTCTGGGGCCAGCGCCGAGACCGCGGGGGCAGAGGATGCAGGACGAGACTGTGGCATCTCGGACGGGGCCTTCTGTCTGTCCACAGGGCAGCCCCCCCTCGGAAATGGGCGGCAAAAAGCCCGGGCCGTTCACCGCTGAAAGGGGGCCACCAGCTGCTCAGGAAGGCTAAACCGACTTGCAAGCTCAGCAGCCCCGGACGGAAGGGTCTGTGCTCAAAGCGGCGAATCCCCCACCCCCCGGCTAGGCTCAGGACGTGCAGGTTTCCCTGGGGGAAGGCCAGGACAGAAAAGGGGCGCCAGCGACGATGCGACGGGCAGAACCCCGTTCCGGCGAGAAGCCGTGCCTGAGTGCGGGCTGCGCACAAGAACAAGCGTGGAATAAATGCCCGATCCCAGTGCTACTTAAAGATGCCACCGAAGTGACGGGGGATCGAGCTGGGGCAGCGCCAGAGCTGACAAGCCATGCAGGAAGGCCGGGGAAGGGGGCACGGGCAAGGGGCAGCGCTGGGCTCTCCCCTGGGGAAACGCCCCTCTTCCCCTTGAAGCCCCTCCTGGGGACCCACGGCTGCCCAGACCCAGCCTCCTGCAACGCCCACCGAAGGCCTGGCTGCCTGCACCAGACACAAGGCCTCCTCCGTGGTGGCCCCTTGATTCATTCTCCTTCAGGTGTCAAACAAAAGCCGCTCTGTTCCCCCAAAACACCTGGCAGGAAATGCGGAACTGCCCCCGAAGGATCCCATGCAAAGAGCCCTTCTCGGGAGGCTGACGCGGTGCCTGCCCTCTTTAGTCATCCGGTTGATTTGCGCTGCACCTCATTTGTCTATTATCTTTGCATAACCCACTTTGCAAGCCATACGTGCAAAGGCACGGTACAGATCTTTTAAATAAAATCCCCTATTATTTTTAAATTAGTTAAAATTTTAAATAAAAGGCCTTTTTCTTCTACAACTGCCCATCAAAGGAAGAAGCTTCATGAACTCCCCCCCCCCCCCATGTCCCCTGCGGCCGCCGTGGCCCATTCAGGACGCAAACCCCATGGCAGCACCCAGAGTCTTCCTCAGGAACAAGGGAATCCAGGAGCCCACGGAAATTATGCAAACGAAGAAAACCTGCACAGAATCGCTCACTGCAGGCAGCCAGTCCTGATCCCGGGAATTTGCTGCCCAGGGTAGGGAAACCCTGCTTCTAACCAACGGAAATCCAACACAGCCATACCAACCGGGGATGATGGGAGCTGTGGTCTCACACTTCTGGAACGCGCCAGAGAGCAGAAGACAGAACTAACCAGCCACCTGGCCGGTTTCTCTGCAAAGTCGCAGATGGCCAAGCACACCTGGATTGCCAGCCTGAGTCTGCTAGCGGCAAGGTGTGCCGCCACCGGACAATCCCCCCCGCCCCACACACACACCTTGGGGGCCAAGTGCGGGCTCAGGAGCTGCACCATCCCTTCCTGACATGTGGAACCTGCCAGCGTCGTCCCCTCCTCCCTCGCCTGTCGCTGTCGCAAGCGGCTGATGAGTCCCACACACATTTCTTTTTAAAGCTCAAGATGACTCTAATCTCCCAGGATGACTCAAAGGCTCCCGTTCTGGTTCTACAGGTGTGACCGCACCGCTGAACTCGCAGTGGGGCCGTCCCCAGTGATGCTCTTCTGCTTCCTCGCCCTCTCTCTCCCCCCACACGCGCATGCATGCATGCATGCGCACGCACCACGCGCACGCACGAATCTAGCCTGGGTCAGCAGCCTGGAACTGCCAGCCTGGTTTCTGTCGTCTTTCCAGAGTTAGCCCTCCTGAGCACCCGACGGCCCCCCAGCTGCCCTCCCTCTTCTATCCCAAAAAGCCTTCCTCTCAGGCAGCTAAGGCTCACGGCTTCATCTTGAGCAGTTCAAAGAAATCCCCGTCTTGGGGTCGAAAAAACGTGCCGCCTTCCCCTTTTCCCCCTGGGTTTTTGCCTGCGGCCAGAGGATGGCCTTGACCTGAAAGTTTCGGCCTCTCGGAGGTCTTTGCATTTGGTACGGCGATTACAGAGCCGACTGGGCAAGTGACCAGGGCGCTCTGCCATTTATAAGAGCACATCCGAGCAGTTTGCATTTCTGACTGCTGGCCTGGGATGCAGCTTTGCATTCTGGGTTAAAACACGCACGGTCTTGCACTGCCCGCCGGGTTCATTTCATGCACTTAATAAACTTCAGATCAGTAATTCATACAAGCTTACAGTCTGAATTGGCAGTTTGTTTATATGCTGATTGTGGTATTTTATCCTGTTTTCATTTTTTAAATATTGTATGTACTATTACTGTATGCAGAATACTAGAGTCAGCTACTTTGGGATTCTTGGAAGGAAAAGGGGGATGCAAGGAAGACGGGTTGATGTTTGGTCAAGCCCTAGCAAAAGGGAACGCCGTGGAACATGGGGATGTGGGGTGGGGGGAGAGACAGAGAGGGGGGGGCCCTTTTCGGGTCTTCCCCACAAAACCCACACGGTGCCTGTGAGCAGGTGGCTGCTCCTTCAGGGGATGCACATCCAGCCACAAGCAGCCAGGCATCTTGAGAAAAGAGCACGGCAGCCCCGCACCCCTGAAGGACCTCGGAAGGGGAAGCCTGCGCTAGGAGAAGGGAGGAAAGGGGGCAGCCCTCCACAGGCGTGGGGATGCCGACGAAGAGCCCCTGTCCCAGCGCAAGTCGTGGGACTATTATCACCCCAGACAGTGTCTAGGAAGCAAAGAACGGGAAGGGAGGATGCACTAGATGGGAGGCGCAGCAGAGCAAGCCCTGCCCGGTAACTTGGCAATCGCGGGCGGACCGTTTTCCTGTGCTCTCTCGGTGTTTGTGCGGATGGGGCAGGACCAGGGGGCACTGAAGGGGGATAAGCTGCAGCGCAGAGGAGGAGACAAGACTGGCCAGGACAGGACCTTACCGGAAACCCCACACGCCGAGCACTGATCACAAGAGAAACCCTGCCAGAAGCGATCTTCAAGACCTTCCTTCTGCAGGATTGAAAAGGAAGCTGTGTAAATACGGCGGGTGTGGCAAAGAGACGTGGAGCCTGACCGGTGTGAGGCAAAGCCACTCTGACGATGCTCCCGCAGGCCATCAGGAGAGACACGGACAATTATGAGAAGAAAACTTGATTCAAATCAATGCTTTAACGGGCCATTGATCTTGCCAGTTAAATCTTTAATTTAAATGGCTTCAGCTATCAAGGCTCAACCTTGGGACGCAATCCCTATGCGTGTTCAGGCTGGGAGTCGCCGGGCTTTTTGCCTGCCTAAACATGCCTCGGATCGTGCCCCTGAGCTGTTCGTTTGATGCGCTCTGCACAGAAACCAAGACCTTTGCTGGGAGAGGATCAAGTTTATCTTCCTCAACATGGTGCATAGAACGCTGAGGCCCTCAAGGTGCGGATCCAGAGGTGTTCGGAACAGAACCTGATCTGGATGGCAGGTGGGCATAAAGGGCAGGGCCTTTTCTATCGTGGCACCAAACTCCTGGAACATCCTGCCTGGGGACGTACATTTGGCCCACTGCTGCTCACACTCCAGCTGAATCAGCTGAGCCTGTTCTCTTTCACGGAATGAATGAGATTCGGTCGCCCTTTTTCTTACACGGCTGGATAATGTTGTCTAGACTATTTTTTCACAGATTTGCAAGGGAAAGGACTCCTCACTGGAGGCCAAGAGCACCCACATTTCTGTACTCCTAATTACTACAGATGAGTGTGAAAGCTGGGCAGTGAAGACAGGAAGAAAGTGTTCGGAGCTTAGCACTGGAGGAGAAATTGGCCAATACCCCGGATCAACAAGCTACAATTGGCAAATATCTCGAATCGAGACAAACAAGTGAGCCCTGGATCGAATCAAGGCAGAGCTTTCCCTGGAATCACAAAGGACAAAACCGAGGCTGTCGTACTTCGGACACATCCTCAGCAGGCCAGACTCCCTGGAGAAGACCACACGCCAGGAAGGTTGAAGGCAGAAGAGCAAACGGAAGAACAAGTGGGAGACAGACCGGCCCCATAAAGGCCGCTACAGCCTGGAACGTAAAGGCCCTTCTGGCGGGTCTGTAAATTCTCACGGTCGCCCCAGTCACTGGATGGCACCTAACGCAACATCGGGTTTGGGTGACACTGCTTTCAATTTGGCATTTTGAAATAATACTATTCTTGGCTGTTTGAATATTTTTTTACAGAAAGGAGGGGTATAAACTCTCTCTCTCAAAAAGAAAAAATCAGATGCAGAGAGATGGCCTTCTGCAAGCAACCTAGTGAGATCCAAAGACACAAAAAATGCATCACCACAGGGAAAAACACGGAATTTTGCTAGAGCAAAAATACTGGTTAGGCAGCCAGGAAATCGCCTCTGAAGGTACAGGAATGCCCCAAGGGATCAGTGGTCAGGAATGCTTAACCTTGAAAAGCGGCCGTGTCGGCCACTGATACCATGCGCTAATCCCACGGAACTGGGTATTTTCCACAGCCAGCCGCCTTGCGCAGCTCCTCCAAGCAGCGCCGGCGCTCCACCTGGCAGAGTGCTCGTGATGTGCAGAAACTCTTCTGGGCTTGTGCACATGGACCAGGGAGGACCAGAGAAAATTGGCTGGTGAGGACAATTATCTTGAGAAAACGGTTGTGGGGGGCAGAGCAGAGCATTGCAGTCACAAGAGCACCCGCCATTATCTCGATGGTGAATTCACGAGCCGGGTGCAAACCAAGCTGGGGCATCTGGGAAAGGAAGGCGCATCAGCAGGTGCGGGGAAAGTCCACAAAGAGGGAAAAAACAAAGTTTAGGGTCAAAATGCCAGAGCCCACCTCAAGCCCAGTGAGGACCGATGCGAAGTAGTGCCAGAACAGAGAAGCAGAGCGAGC